AACAAAACAATAACAACGGTGGTAAGACTCAAAAACAACAACAGTGACAAGTGTAGATATAAAAACAATTAATTAATAATCAACAAAGCGTATAACCACACCTTTCCTTATTAGTAAAAGTAAAAACAATAGCAGAGAGGATTGAAGTAGGACCATATTGGGTTAATTAATTACATGGTTCATGAAATATTGGGAAGACCATTAACCATAAGAAATGTTCATTGGATTAATGCCTAGTATCATTATAAACAACTAAGATTGGTAGTGTTTGTCTCAGCACATTAAACATGGCATTAATAAGATGAGGTATACTATACTGTACATATATGTGCATGAATTATTACCATTATCAAACAATATTATTAATATTATAATATATGAGTATTATAGTTATAATTATATACATGAGTAAATGTTGCTTCATTGTTGCCCTCATATAGTATAGCCTTGTATGGATTATTTTATAATTTTATTGCAATTAGTGATTTAATTATCATTTTTATGAGATAAAGGCCAGTGGAGGAGAAAGAGAGAGCTAGAGGATAGGGAGAGAGAGAGAAGAAACAAAGAAGGAATGACAGAGAGAGACAGAGAAGCAAGTAATTAAGCAAAAATATTAAATTATGCATACATAGTGTGCATAATTTATGTACTGAATACTGACATTACTAAGCATTCCCTTTTCTTTTCTCTCCTCTTCTAGTCCACCCATTATTATTATTATTATTATTATTATTATTATTATTATTATTATTATTATTATTATTATTATTATTATTATTATTATTACTGTCATCTAGAATATACTTGCTGTCATACAGTTAATGTACTACAAGTGATAACACAGTGCAGTGATAATGTCATGAAAATATTCTCAAATTACACCATGCACACCACACCATCTTCATCAAATGACAATGTGTTACAATGGGTGATACCCTATATTGTTTTACACCCTCTCTCTCTCACACACACCACCCTCTCTCTCTCTCTCCCTCTATCTTGATCTCATCTCCTCTTCCTCAATCCTTCCCCCTAGCTCTCTCTCTCTCTCTCTTGAATTATATAATAAAAATAATTAATTATAAAAATACTTCCATACAATTACGAGCCATTGTTTACATCTTGTTGACAAACATAAAAAGCAATAGCCGCAGACACACACACACAATACATAAACAAAGAGCACCAAGCTGTCTGTCACCCAAGTATAACACACATACAGTCATGCAACTATCATTATTATTATAAATACATACCTATAGACACATGCACAGACATGCTGAAGCACCATATTAGCTCAAGGAGTGTGCTCAAACAAATCAACATACACCCAAACAACTTTATACAACACATGTTCTTAAAAAAGTCTTATAATATTATCAATATAGTTATAAGAAACATTGTAAACAAAGTGAAACAAGGACTTGACCAATGTGTATCTTGTGTTAAAACTTCCTTGATGATAATTGAAAGGGAGAGGGTCCTTTTAAAAATATAATGGATGCATGATCATTTACAATGCATATATATATATATACAAATTATAATGGACTATTGTATCATTGTGTCATTACTATTCAATGTTATTGTAACTCGTATTTGTGATAGATGCAAATTTACATAAGTAATGAAATCAGTTTGGGAACAAGAACTAGTGTGGTTGCTTTAAACAGAAAAGCCCACTCTATCAGTTGTATCAGTATAATAACCACAGACAGTACAGGAATACATCAGAGAGGGAAAGGAGAGAGAGGATGTCAGAGTTGTAGAAGTCATTCATACAAATAAAAGAGTGGGTGGTCTTATCCGTAGTAGTATAGTAGTAATTATTAATTACATCATTACTGCCATATATAGTATAAACCCTTTCACCCAATCACTATCAAAATCTTTAGAGCATAAACAGATACTAAATGACTCGATCTCAGCATCAATCTTTATTAGACTATTATTTTTATTTTTTATTCTCTACTTCTACAGCTCCAATTAGCATTAATATTCATATTATTATTACACGTAATAATTACTCATTAAATCATAAATATGTTAGACTGGTGGTTTCTGGCCAAGGACTTTGAAGATGGATAATTGATAACTTCAAAAGGTTCCACACGCACACACTGCTAATGAAGAATATGACTTAATGACATCACCTACAACTCATACCGCCATCAGTTGTACATATATGTACATGGACATGTACTTATATGCACATGCAACTGCACTCAACTGCTTCACTTTATCATGTGGTGGGCACAATGACCAGACATTTATAATCAATGTCTCACGCCCACTCAAATTTAACATACATCACTGATTCACTGTAGTAGCCTGATTCACTATAGTAACTGGTAGTAAGGTGGTAGGTATGGCAGAAACCTTTATTATGAGGTTTAGTGTGACCAGGTGGTTGGTAATGAGCCACATCAGAGCTAAGAGGACATATTAGGGTTCGTTTATGTAATTAAAATAAATAAATAAATAATAAAGAGTGATACAAGGAGTTTTAAATGCTAAACATGAATTCAAAGAGAGGGGACAATTAGGAAACATAATGACATTCACCATCAAAAATCAAACAATAACTTACTGTTTTGCTGATAGTGTGCATTCAGCACCATATGAAGGCTTGGTTTGAAGAAGAGAACACCTAAAAAATGGTATATCACTATGTAATTACTGCATGTATATCAATTTTATAAAGTTTAAATCATCATTTTTGAGTTTTGGATGTCTAAATACTTGAGCTGATTCTGACTTTGATTTTTCAAGTTATGGCCATTTAAAAACGCCAAAATTCTGAAAAATGTCCAAAGCTATAGTCCATGGTTTTTTCTAAAAAATGACTAAAAAATCGGCCCAAAATTTTATTCCATTTACTGATACATATTGATGTCCTTATGTTGTGTAGAAAGGTTGAGCTGATTTCGACTTCAATTTTTCAAGTTATGGCCATTCTAAGAAAATGCCAAAATTCTGAAAAATACCCAAGGCTATTATAGCCCATGGTTTTTTCCAAAAAATGGCTCTGAAATCACTTCAAATTTTTATTACATTTTTTGATACATATTGATGCATTTATGCTCTGTAGAAAGTTTGAGCTGATTCTGACTTTGATTTTTCAAGTTACGGCCATTTTAAGAAACGCTAAAATTCTGAAAAATACCCAAGGCTATAGCCCATGGTTTTTTCCAAAAATGGCTCTGAAATCACCTCAAATTTTTATTACATTTTCTGATACATATTGATGTCCTTATGCTGTGTAGAAAGTTTAAGCTGATTCTGACTTCTATTTTTTAAGTTACGGCTATTTTAAGAAAACGCCAAAATTCTGAAAAATACCCAAGGCTATAGCCCATGGTTTTTTCCAAAAAATGGCTCCGAAATCACCCCAAATTTTTATTACATTTTGTGATACATATTGTTGCCCTTATGCTGTGTAACAAGTTTGAGCTGATTCCAACTTCAATTTTCTAAGTTACAGCTATTTTAAGAAAATGCAAAAATCCTATAAAATACTCAAGGCTTGAGCTGATTCCAATTGAAATTTTTCAAGTTATAGCCACTTTTTTAAAGTGGCAAATTTTCAGAAAAAGATTATAGTCTATGCATTTAGGATCCAAAATCACCCAAACTTTTAATTAGATTTTCTGATACATATATTGATGTCTTTGAGCTATATAGCAGGTTTAAACCAATTTTAAGTTATGGCAATGTCAATTTCTATAAAATGAATACTTTTGAAATATCATATCCCCAATAAATATCAAAATGATCTTAATCACTTTAACTATTTTATATGGAGTCTAGTTTTCCACATGATATGTCACATGATATTACAATATTGTGACTGGCTTTTTAAAATATGCATTTCCCCAATCATTATACTTAGCTGAAACTCTACACAGCATAAAGGGTATATATATATTAATGATGAATGAATGATGTCAGGTGATATGAGTATAACAATGATGAAATTCTAAGAAACTAAGAAATAATGATGTAATAGTAATAGATAGGCCATGTGGAAAAATAGAAGCCATTAACTTAATTCCTAATAATCAGGGACATAGACAACTTTCAGAAAGTGGTGGCAAAATGAGGATCTACAATATGACATCAGGCCAGCGTACCATCAATTTTTAATCAAAAGTGTGGGCGATTTGACGTTTTGAAGCATGTTTACCGCTAGAATAGAACCAAATCCTATTCCAGCATCAACGTAACGTCAAGCCTATTGTAATATTGTAAATCCGCCTTAAATCTCTACCATTGTGTATGAATAAATACAATTGGGTAAAGTCCATAGTTATGAAGTGTGCCTGTCCGTACGTTTGTACAGGTCGTTTGTCTAACTATTTTTAAAGTTAAATAACTTAATCTTCATGAATGATATATAATATGGCTAAGGAGTGGAGTCCCTTAATGCTTAAATTTTTTCCTTAAAATCTGAACCTGGTGGGCTTCAGAGTTCAGACCCCCAGCCCACACTCTTGTAGTCAGGGTCAGCCTCGGGGTCACTGTCAGGGAAATGGTCTGGTGCCAGCCCCCCCTTTCCATTGCTTGTAATTAACAAAATGTGCATAAAATAGACAGATTCATACCTAAAGACATCATCAAAGCAAAGAGGCATAGAGTGTCTTGATTTCTTAAGTTTTAAGAACTGGATGTATACTGCCATGTGTCAGCACGTGGTTGTGATCTGCAGTACTGCGCATGCGTTAATTAATCTATTAACTTAAATTTTATTATAGGCGGGGTTTGCTATCTGTAAATTTTTGTATTATAATTCGTATACTTCAACCATGTGGACTCATGTGACTATCTTATTTCCCTACTTTTGTCTCCCTTTCTTACAGTAAGTCATTTCACTCCTAAATATCTTGTTATCCTCTCTCTCTAATAGTATTATACCAATATTTTTATTTTCTTAACGGGGATTGAAGTAGGTAAGCACATAAAACGTTTATTTTTGACATGGCGAGACTACCACTTTACGTGACTATGATTTATTAAATCAAATTATATTGTGTTGTTACATGTATCAATAAACAGAGACAGTGCCATTATGAGATATATTTTGCTGATAAGAGCATTTCTTGAGATATGCATGACAGGATGCCTGTTGCTCATTTTCATTGAAACAACGACAAGCAATGGTGGATTGCTTTAGCAGCTGTAATCCAGACACATATCGACTATCAGCAGTCCTTTTTAATAATATAACCGAGAACACTGGTTTAGATAGTATAGGAACTATGTTACATGAGGCACCAACAACTATATGTGTCTATAGAGAGAGAAACAAAATGTAAATGTAACTTCTAATTACTGTACGGGTATAAAATTTCGTGGGGTATTTAATTTCGCTGATTTTGTAGGTGACTTCTTAACCACAAAAATTAATACCATGGAAATGCCCACTGCGCATGCACAGCATGCGAATATCAATGACTTAGTGCAAGTGCACGTGCAACAATGCGAAATTTAACCCCCTTGAAATTAAAGAATTAAGAGGTTTTCGCTAAAACACAAAATTTTATACCCTCAAAATTTACTACCCGTACGGTATTCCTTACATCATTAGCATAAGGTGAATAAACTGTAGTACAGACACCAATATCTACTATACTATCAGAGTGAAGATTATATACTTCATGAGGTGTACACTCCCATAGTTCATCAACACAGTCACCATGATTGATAGTTATTGATGATATTAGGTTTAATCCAGTTAGTGTAGGCATTCTTGGTTTATTAGACTGAGTTATCAATGGCTGTAATGATTCATTAATAATTTTAATCTGATACATATAATCATTGAGCTGTTTCAATACATCACTGGTTGACATATTCTAATTGAGAATAGAAAAATAATAATAGAAGTAATTAATGAACTTACTTTATTTTGCCTCAGCTCATTTATTTCTTTTCTAATCAGTAATGTTGACTTTGTTAAACTCTATTTATTAATGAATAGTTAGCATTTAATGATTCTAGTAGTTAGCTTACAGTGAAGTTTGTCATATTGTCAGGAGCTATGTATTTGGTAAAAATTATATTTAAAATTAATGTTGACTTACATGGACAATCACATGATATTTGGATGAGAGATGATGTATTCACTATCTTTACATTGTCATAAATTAATGTTTTTGACGTTTTTGGTTGCATTGGTTTAAGTTCTGTGAAATAACAGTGTTTACAGATAATCATGCATTCACACAATAGTCCTTACTAATCAATACTAGGCTACAGCTAATGGCAGTAACTGTAATTAGAACAGTCAATGTGGCCAGTAATGCTAGTATATACTCCCAGTTGGTTAGTTCTTCATTGAAATATGATCTTATTCTCTTGTTTGTCCTTTTAATATGAACTGAAGGACTCACTGTAGTAGTTGTAGTTTTTAGATTAACTGGTAGATATGAAGTGTTACTATAGTATAATGTATTGATAAAGTAAAATTGAATTTTTAATTTACTTCTAACCTTTTTGTACAAATCTTATTTGCATCGAAAGTATCATAATATTCATTATCCAATTCTACCTGTGAATTGATATGTAGTTAATAATCAAAAGAATAAACTTTATTCTTTACATACTGAAGGAGTAGTCACTGGTTGATAGGAAAGATTAGTAGTGACTGGTGTAGCTAATAGCTGATTATTATTAGTAGAGAGAGGTACATGATCAGAGTAGCTAGGATTAGAGGAGACAGGAACTTCAGACACTGGAGCTTGTTCAGAAGATACAGGTACTTCATAATCCATAGCTATACATACAGTGACTGTATGATCATGTGATTTCACTACTGATATTTTAAACATGTACAGTAGTGTAGTAAGTTATTTTTAATGTAGTTATGGAATAGCTAAGTGTCAAGAAAATTGAAGGCACAGCTTGCCTATGGTCAATATTTGTGAATGACTGTAGCTAAATTATAGTAACTAAACTAATTGAAATATTGATGAACTGTGTAGTATATGATACATACATTAAAATGATATTTTTCTAATTGTTGCTGCCATACTTGGAAGTGTGTTCATATAAGGACACAAACATACAGCTTTTTAATAACTCCAAAAAATAGTAGAAAAATGAAATTAACTCAGCATTATATGAATAGTCTGCAATTACATATCTATTCTGCAAAGACAAAATAAAATAAATATGATGATACGAACATTCAGTAGGAGCTCTTGTAACTACTGGCAATCCTTTTTTCTCTAAAGTGAGTCATTCTAGCCTTGTTCAGTACACCTAAATCCTTGCCCTCTCCTTATAGTATTTTTCATGTCATTATTTTTAAAATGGATAAAGGTATTATGATGTAATTAATCAAGCAAAGATTAATGTACAAAGAGAATGGAGTTAGGAAAGTTACTTTGATAGGTACAATAAGTATAATAAAATTCACACCTCACAGGGACAAAGTTATAACTGAAACAAAGAGGAGTTATTGATGATTTTCTTAATCTTTCAACAATTGTATCATTAGAAAAATACATCTCATCAACACTTGCTTGAACTTGCTGTATGATGGTACTACTATTAAACTGTCCTGTACCAATTGGGGTAACTCTACCAAATGATGATACTATTATATGAGTCTGAAAGGTAATGGTAAGTTACTATAAAATAGAATAAAATTTACCTCATTAGCATAATGTAATATTGGTAGCTGACAGGCTTGGATGAGATCAAGAAAAGGATTTATAAAAGTATTACATGTTGTATTACTAACAACACAGTCACCATGATTGATAGTTATTGATGATGTTAGGTTTAATCCAGTTAGTGTAGGCACTCTTGGTTTATTGGACTCAGGTATCAATGACTGTAATGATTCATTAATAATTTTAATCTGATACATATAATCATTGAGCTGTTTCAATACATCACTGGTTGACATATTCTAATCAAATAATAATAAAATAAAAATAGATTAAAATCATTGAACTTACTTTGTCTTGCATCAGTTTATTTATCTCTTCACTTATAAATGATATTGACTCCCTTATAGCCTATATGATTACATTTACATAGAGAGACACATACCCATTACACATAACCCATTAGTGTGTGACATATTATATGCCAATTATTAAGAGTATGTGACATCACTGACATATACCCATTACACAGTGTGTGACATATATATAGTGTGTGACATTACTGTCCCAGTGTATGCATTACTTACTGTTAAACTTGAAGTGTTTATATCTACATAGAATGTATATATATTATAATAAATAAACACATACACTCACTATTATTAGTGCAGGTGGTACAGTTAGGTCCTGATTCATCCCTTGCAGTAATCCTGTTATTAGTTGAATTATTTGATGCTATTGTAGTGAGAGACGATGACGAAGTTGAGTTATTAACCACACCAGACATTAATAATGACCACAGTATAATAGCAATAACTGTAATTAGAACAGTCAATGTGGCCAGTAATGCTAGTATATACTCCCAGTTGGTTAGTTCTTCGTTGAAATATGATCTTATTCTCTTGTTTGTCCTTTTAATATGAACTGAAGGACTCACTGTAGTAGTTGTAGTTTTTAGATCAACTGGTAGATATGAGGTGTTACTATAGTAAATGCATGTATTGATAAAATAAAATTGAATTTTTATTTTTACTTCCAACCTTTTTGTACAAATTTTATTTGTATCAAAAGCATCATAATACTCAGTCTCCAATTCTACCTGTCAATTGATATAATATAGTTAATAATCAAAAGAATAAACTTTATTCTTAACTGGTTGATAGGAAGGATTAGAAGTGACTGGTGTAGCTAATAGCTGATTATTATTAGTAGAGAGAGGTACATGATCAGAGTAGCTAGGATTAGAGGAGACAGGAACTTCATAATCAGACACTGAAGCTTGTTGAATAGATACTGGTACTTCATAATCCATAGCTACATACAGTGACTGATCATGTGATTCAACTACTGATATTTTAACAATGTGCAATACACATGATGGTAAGTTTATTTAACAGTTGTGGCAGTAAGTTATTTTAACATAGTTATAGAATAGCTAAGTTTTAAGAAGATTGAAGGAACTAATTGAAATATTGATAAACTGCATAGATAAACTGACTATATGATACATACATTAAAATAATACTTTAACTAATTGTTACTGCCAGACTTGGAACTGCTTCTATAGAAAAATAGAAATATACAGCTTTTTAATAATAACTCCAAAAAACAGTAGCATAGCATTACACGAATAATATACAATTACATATTTACTCTGTTAAGACAAAATAAAATAAAATGATGGTACAAACATTCAGTACATCTCTGTATAGGAGCTCATGTAGCTACTGGTAATCCTTTTCTCTTTTTAAGTGAGTCAATCTAGACTTCTTCAGTACACCTAAATTCTCACTCTCTCCTTATAGCATTTTCATGACATTATTTTAAAAATGGAAAATGTAACTAATCAAACAAAAATTAATGTACAGAGAGAATAGAGTTAGTTAAGTTACTTTGATAAGTACAATAAGTATAATAAAATTCACACCTCACAGGGACAAAGTTATAACTGTAACAAAGAGGAGATATTGATGATTTTCTTAACCTTTCAATAATTGTATCATTAGAAAAATACGTCTCATCAATACTTGCTTGAACCAGTTGTGTAATGGTAGTACTATTAAACTGTCCTGTAGAAATTGGGGTAACACTACCAAATGATGATACTATTATATGAGTCTAAAAGGTAATAGTAAGTTACTATAAAATAGAATGAAACTTACTGTATTAGCATATTGTATTGCTGTTAGCTGACAGATTTGGATGAGATCAAGAAAAGGAGATACAGTGAGAATGCATATTGAAGTGCTAGCAACACAGTCATTATGAT